TCACAATATATCTGAGAACATAAACCATGATAATAGAGCGCACAAATTATCACGGGAGATTGAATACTGGTAAGTGTCCAGCAGGGAGAACAGGAGGCCACTCAGGGGCAGGAGGGTGGGGAAAGGAGCATGTGACATTTATTGAGGGGAAGGAGGAAGCTCACCGTGGGTGCGGTGGAGCCGGTCAGTCCTCTAAGTGTGGCTTGGCCTTAGGTGATACAGATTTTGGTGAAAAGGAGAGGGAAGGAGGAGGCATGATCATTTTGGAGGTTATCCATGCCCCTCAGGTGGTTAGGCATGGCTTTTGGTTGGAGGACTCCAAAGATTTTACTAGAAAAAAGTGATTTTTGTAGACTCTCAGAAGAAAGAAACTGAGGGTCAGAAAGGCAGCTATGTTGCTCCAGGGTCATCCAGGTGACACACCCATAGCCCATGTTCCTTAACTGTTTGTCATGTTCTCTCTGTCCCCAGCAAATGATCACACCTGTAGGTTGGGGAGATCCCAGCTAATCATCCCCCGCGATTCTTTGTGAGTAAGAAAAAGCCCTTAAGGGTTTGTTTGCAGGACCGTGGGGTGTGTCTCACCAATCACTGCGTAGCCCCCAGGGAGGATCTTATAGATGATGCCGTCAAACAAGATGCCATCCGGGAAGATCATGGCCATGATCTCCCCAACCAGCCTTCCGAAGGCAGCTCCTGGAAGAACGACAAAGCAAGGCACGTGTTGCAGATGCAGGTTTTTTATCTTCTATATTTTCTGAGCCAATCCACCCTTGGGGATACAAAAATAGAAGACCAGATACAAGCTCCCAGCATCCCAGACCTCTCTTTATTTCCCCAGGACCCTGGACTGCAGCTGCGAGTGAGATCCCACACTTCCCATCAGAACTCACCTAGCACAAACACAGGCATGAAGCCTCCGCAGGGTATGGGCATTGTGGTGGCCACGATGGACATCCAGAACTGGGGTAAAAAGAGGTGTCAGCACACCTGCTCAACTCTGCCCCCTGTATATACATACACATTCAACCCCCTTTCCACGATCCTCCACCCTCCTTTAAAAGTCACAGAAGCGCTCTCTCCCTGGTGGTGCAGGGTTAAGTCTCAGCATTATGAAGCCATCCGCAGTCACTGCAGCATGAGTTCGATCCC